CACAAGTTCCGGTACCTTAGAAGTTCCACGGCTCTCCCCCCATCTCATTGTACCCTCCTGGAACTTGTCTGGTCACGACGGTTTTTACTCCCTCTAGGACTTTGACGTCTGACTTCCAAGACGAGCGGTTGACGGCTTTAGCCTCTGCGGGTTGCGAGCGGACGCGTTCCAACCCTCGTAAAATAAAATAACACGAAAACTGCGTTAGTAAACCAACTAGTTATGGAGACCGTTCCTGACCTTTAAATGTTATTTTAAAAATCTGTGTGAGCGTATTGAAGAGACCACTCCCCCCCCCCAAGTGAGTTTCCCCGGCGTAGTTTTTTAAACACTTAAAGAAAGAAACATATGGCGGAAGAAAGAACCCATTTAAAGATGTTGGCTTCGTAGAACATTCGCCGGCAAGTTTACCAGTTGATGGTGACTTTTATGTAGAGGTGCAGAACACCACAGTACGCCAATATTTCGTTAAGTTGTTAAAAGTCAGCCCTTTGGAGGATCCAGGATCTCCTTGAAACCGTTATTTTAACAGTTCAAATAATAGTTGAGATGCCGTTTACAATCTATAAATAAGCTTATTTACTAAATTTTTTTAAGCTGGTGTTTATTTTATGACTGTTGGCGTCACCGCAGCTTTGCACTTTGAGGTTGTTTTCCAGAGTTAGGGAGACTATTAAAAGTTTTCACTACATTTTGCACTTTCTCTTTAGATTTAAATTTGTCAGCTGCCCTGTGTCATGCTGACATGATCACATTAGTTTTAAAAAGAAACAGCGAATGTGTGTTGTATTCATGATTCCTCAGAGGAAAATACCTTCCTGGCTCCTCTAGCAGCCACTGGAGAACAGAGCTTATGAAGAAATTAATGCACTCTGATATTGTGAAAGGTGTGTCCACAATACCTAAAGAGCAGATGAGGAAACCTTCATGACTTAGAGTCTTCAGGGGAAGCTGCAGAGAAGTGACGTTGGAGATGGTAGGCTAGGCTAGACGTGTGAATGTGTGAGTGTGAGTGAATTTATGGGTGGTCTTGCAAGCTAGGCGATTTTTCTTTTTCCTCACAAGGTTTTTAAATATCTTCTTGAAATTTTTTCGGGTCCTTTGAGGTTTTTAACTTTGGCAGATGTGGGGATAAACGAGGTAAGACATCATATTTTTGGATGTTGAGATTTTCATCTTTATTCTCAGCTGCTCTGTGTTGGCCAATAGGAAGAGGAGCATGTTGCTGGTCTCTCCTCTAGTTTGCTGGTGTGGAGAACTTCTTCCCTTTTCTCTGTGTTCTGCAGAGTAAACAGTTTTAATTTTTATTACCTCCGCCAGGAAGGTAACTGCTTGTTTTTGAGTATTTCTCTTCCTCTTCTTGACAGAAATCTGTTTCACAATTTGGGAGGCTGGAGATCTAAGATTTAGGTACCTACCTAAATCTTAGAGTCTGGGTCTGGAGAGGGTTCATTTTCTTCCTGTATTCAGCTATGTCTCAATGTGGTGGAAGGGATGAAAAAGCTTCTTTAGGTCATTTTTTTGAGGACACTAAACCATTTATGGGAGCTCTGCCCCCAGGACCTGGTCGTCTCCCAAAGGCTTTCCTTCACAGTACAATGGTACTGTGGGTCTACGGTTTCAGCCCCGAGCATAGCACCCCATGTTTCTTAAGGGGACAGAAGGGAGCAAAGAGGCCTTTGGTACTGTCTTATTTCTGGTTCTTTCCCCTCTATAATACAGGGACAGTCATGTTTGCTTCTTATTCGTTCCCTTGAAAGGTGTTTGGGCTCCTTAGAAGAACCCTTTCTTTGTACTGGATGAGTGCACAAGGAAACACGTATAGCTCTGTGTAGTGTGCCCACCATAGTCTTTTAAGACCTTGTCCTGCATTAATTCAGGGTGGATTTGAGAGATTGAGGATTTGGCTACCTTTGTCACCTTAAAATTGTTGCATGAGCCCTTTGTGGCTGGGCACACTTTTAACCCCAACACTTGGGAGACAGACAAGCTCATTTCTTGAGTTTGGGCCAGCCTGGTCCATATAATGTGTTACAGGACAGACAGGGGTATGAAGAGAGGCCTTGTCTCAACAACAACAACAAAGTTTTATGTTTAATTTCTTAAACACAAAATCCTATTTGTGTTTCTCTAATTTCTGATTTATGATCTTAGCCTTCATAAATACCCGAGTTTTCCTGGTTTACTCTTTTTTAGCATGATACCATTACATGTGCATACATTTAAACATCTGTGTAGTCATGAGTGTGCATTCTTGTTTGTTAGAGATGGGGGCATTTTATTCTTAAACAGTATGCTATATATGGTTTGCTTAACCATTTGTGCTTGTCAAGCATTAGATTGGTTTCAGTTTTTCTCTGTTGTAATTAGTTTTATTGGAAAGGACTTAACAGGAATTATTTGTGCATTCTGGTTTTTTAAAGATTTATTTTACATTTAATTGTGTGTGTCCATATGTAGATGCATATGAGTGTGCGTGCCTGTGCGTCTCCTGGAGCTGGGGTTATAGGTGTTGTAGCCCCCAGATGGTGGGTATTGGGAATTGAGCTCAGGTCCTCTAGAAGAACAGAGCTGGCTCTTACTGACTGAGCCATCTCTCCAGCTCATATTTGTATATTCTTAAATGTAAATTTTATTTTCTATGTTTCTATGGGTGTTTTGCCTTCATGTATGTCTGTGTAATGTGTATGCCTTGTGCCCAGGGACTCTACATATCATATCTTGGAAATGAAATTACAGACTTGTTAGCGTCATGTGGGTGCTGGATAGAGCCTGGATTCTTGAGAAGAGCAGCCAGTGGTCTTGAGTCATCTCTCCAGCCCTAGTTTTAGTTGTGTGTCTGTGTGCCTGAGGAGGACAGGGCTCAGATCTCACTGGAGCTGGAGTTAGAGGTGGTTGTGAGCCACTGACTTGGGTCCTGGGAACCTGGTCCTCTGCAGGAATGGCATCCCAGTATTAATATTTATTTTGGTTTGGGTTGTTGAAATGGGGTTTTGTTTGCTCTCCTGGCCTCAAGTACAAAATATTTCAGCTTTATCCTCCTACTGTTGGGATTACTGGATTTTGCTGCTACCAGGCTCAACTTGGTTGACATTTAAGAGCTATATGGTAATTCCCGAGATACTTTAATTGTTGTAGTGTTGAGGCTTGTGACGCAGGGCCTTGGGTAAGCTGGGCATGAGCTCCACCACTGTAGGGCCTTGGGTAAGCTGGGCATGAGCTCCACCACTGTACTTACTACAGCCCCATTCCTGGGAACATGTTTTGTGCATAACTTTCAGTGCTGTTGAAAGTTTCTCCTCACTTCTGTGCCTCATTTTGTTAGTTTTTAAGACCATAGCAATAAAGGCAAAGTGGATCTGCACAGAGTAAAATGTACAGTTCCCATTACTGTGGAAGTTTGACTCTCTCTGTTAGCTGCTGTGTGCTGATTAGTTCTGGACCAGGTCTCAAGTGAAGTGAATGGCACTGTAGTGGCTAATTGAAGATTAGTGACAGTTCACCTTCACAATTTTAACCATCAGTGTTTGGCTCCTTAATGTCAGTTCAGACCTAAGAACTAATATAGAGATTACATTTTTAGGAGAAAGAGTATGGTTTTCTTTACTGGGACTGGATTTGGTAGTGGTGCATGCCTTTAACCCCAGCACTCAAGGGAGACAGAGGCAGGCAGATGTCTGTGAGTTGGAGGCCAGACTGATCTAAATAAAGAGTTCCAGGACTAGAGAAGCCTTGAGATGAGTCTGACAATCTGAATTCAATCTCTGGGACCTACGGGGTAGAGCGAACCTACCCCCCAAAATGTGCCCTTCAACCTCCACGGGCATGTGTATACATACAGAAATTTAAAAAAAAGAAAAATTGAAATTCTTTTCCTGTAAAGAAAAACAACCAGTTCTGCCCTCTAGTGGCTAACAACAGCAAAGCTCAGATGCTTTAGTTCAGCAACCCTGATAAAATGAAAGCTTACTCAGCCATACTTTCAGCCTTTCTTTCTTGGAGCTATTTTTAGAAGCTTTTTATAAATTGTGTATTATTTTAGGAGCAGTTGCCTTCAAACATGGCATGAGTCAGATTTAAGAAGCAGGCCTGTGTGTTGCCCTGAGCAGAGCAGAGTAGAGCAGAGTGTCTGTAG